TTGCTTCACAAAGAATGTCGTGATTGGTTAAGTGCACGTTAGTACTACTGATATTAAAAGTGTACTTAATTGGGCCGGGTGCGGTGGCTCATGCCTGTAATCCCAGCACTTTGGGAGGCTGAGGTGGGTGGATCACCAGGTCAAGAGATTGAGACCATCCTGGCCAACATGGTGAAACCCCGTCTCTGCTAAATACAAAAAAAATTAGCCGGGCATGGTGGCACATGCCTGTAATCCCAGGTGCTTGGGAGGCTGAGACAGGAGAATCGTTTGAACCCAGGAGGCGGAGGTTGCGGTGAGCCGAGAATGTGCCATTGCACTCCAGCCTGGGGAACAAGAGCGAAACTTCGTCTCAAAAAAAAAAGTGTACTTAATTATCCTACTGCTGAAGGCGACACAAAAAATCCACAACACTATCAACATGCCTAGTTTAGAAAGCATTTGTCATTTTTGGCTGAGGTGGATGGGTGAGGGCATAAGGTAAGGGTTATGTGTGTGCATGTTTATATATAAAAGTGTGTGTGTGTGTGTGTGTGTGTGTGTGTGTAGGAGAAGAGATACTGTGATGTTTGGGGAATTCAACTTGAACTTCAATTTGCCTTCTAATTCGTGCTAAAAAGAATATCACTTATTGATTCTGAGCCATAGAAAGCTAGCTGCCTCTTTTCTTTCATTTGATTTCTTACCACATTTGTACTTTCTCTGAGGGAAGGATCATTATTAGGATAGACAGGGAACAGTAGAAAGCTTAATAAAAAGAGGAAGATGTTGGATTACTGAACTGAAGTGTTGTCTTGGCACATAGCTTCCTTCAAAGCTCTTGAATCTTTCTTTTCTGTAATTTACCATATGGGATGATAGGGAAAATAAGTTGACCAGGGATGTGAGAAAGTAAATGGGAGTTATTGGAGAATTGAAGGTTTTGTAAAAAGTTTCTCACGTAGGAATAGAGGTTTATGTTTGTACTTAACACTGAAAGAAAGGTTTATGCTTGCTACTAGAACTGGGTTGGCATTGAACTTCCATTGTAAAAGCATTACAAATTAACTATTTTATGCTGTGAAATGGAATTTATAGTAACAGACCTGGCAAGTAATCACCTAGTGTTTGTCTCTTAAAAAATGATGTATTACAGCTCCACCAGGTGGCTGCCAACAGTGTGGATGAGACAGGCTGACATCCACCAGGAGGAGAAAGCTGCTCTTCATTTTCTTTGTGCATATTGGAGTCTACAACATAATAATTTAGTGAAGGACAAAGGAGTGAGCCTACTGCACGTTTTTCTAGGAGGTCTGGCAAAACACACGCGCACGCGCGCACACACACGCACACACACACACACACCCCTCCCTCAAGATCACTTGACTCATCTTTGAAATAGAAATACCTAAATGCCATAGACAGCTTTCTGATGGGTTAATTGTGCTACAGATCCATATATAGTTGTGCCCTCATTCTGGCTATTATTTTTGGTGTTCCTAAAAGGACAGACGATACTAGGATACTTTAGGTCCATAGGTTAGTTTTGGCTTGTGACTATTAGAGACTCAAGTGGGATCCATTGTAACATCATGGTGTAGTAGAAAAGAATGTTGGTGACTTGAATCCAGTTTTAGCCTCTGCTCCTATTAGGCAAGTGGCTTCTTTTTTTCCTGGGCCTCAGTTTTCTCATCTGTAAAATGAGTGAATTATATTAGCTGATCTCCAGAAACCTTTAGCCATGTGCACAATTTGAATGATTTTGTTTTAATTTGAAAAAAAAAACTTGTTAAGCATTTGAAAATCAAATAGAAAACATGAGGGAAGAAAGCTGTATTCAGTGTAGACATTTATATTTTTTAAATTAAACTCTACATTATGATATTGATCATAATAATTAGAATGAGACCGTCTTCACTATTCTGTCCCTAGTTCTAATATGGCATAGATGTGATAATAAAGTCCATATGCAGCCTTGAAGAAAGTATCTGATTACACATAAAATGTTACCAAAAAAAACCAAAAAAAAAACTGATAAGTAAATTGAGCTATCAACTTGTTTTAGGCAGCACAGAGAATAAAAAACCAAAGCCCACTAGCTCCTGAAACACTGAAATGTGAAATTCATATTCCCAACTTACTGGTTCCATTCCTATCTAGGTTTGGAGAAAAGAGAAAGAAAAACTTCTTTCTCCGTGTTAAATAAGTATCTTAAACATTTGAAAATCAAAGTATAAAATTGAAATTGTAAACACTTCTAGTAACAAGCATTGGTATGTTCTTTTGTGTTCTTAACATTAATAAAATGAGCCACCGGGCGTGGTGGCTCAAGCCTGTAATCCCAGCACTTTGGGAGGCCGAGGCGGGTGGATAATGAGGTCAAGAAATGGAGACCATGCTGGTCAACATGGTGAAACCCTGTCTCTACTAAAAATAAAAAAAATTAGCTGGGCATCGTGGTGCGTGCCTGTAATCCCAGCTACTCAGGAGGCTGAGGCAGGAAAATTGCTTGAACCCAGGAGGCGGAGGTTGCGGTGAGCCAAGATCGTGCCATTACACTCCAGCCTGGGTAACAAGAGTGAAACTCCGTCTCAAAAAAAAAAAATGAGCCATCATTAATGGATCTAAATATTTTAAATTGCAGTTAGTAATTTTAAATTGCAGTTAGTGATGCCATTTTAATTGATTTTGTATTTCTCATGTTGAAGAGCAAAGAAAGTATAACCCCAGTTTTTTTCAATTCCAGTTTTTAACAACCAGCTTAGGAAATATCAAGAACTGACTGTAGCAATGATAGGAATATGAGTCCCCCTGCCTTTGTACTTTGCCCCTTAGCAGCAGCGGATTCATTACTGTATTTTATTCTTTGTGCTTCCCTCCTTTGAAAAATACTCATTTTACTATTTAAAAAAAATTACCCATGAGTGAAATTTACCATTAAAAAATTAGTTTATACATTTTTTTTGCTTTTCTTCTTGGTTTATTTTCTATGTGTATTTATCAGCATATTGTGGCATGTGTGTTAATTGTGCCAGTATTGAGCTCTTAGAAACACAGCCACATGTTGCTGTGCCGTCTTCTTGAAGTTTGGAGTGTTAGATTTGAATGCAATGTAGACTTTGATCTAGTTTTTTTTTCTTTTCTTTTCTTTTTTTTTGAGACAGAGTCTTGCTCTACCGCCAGGCTGTAGTGCAGTGGCACGATCCCAGCTCACTGCAACTTCTGGTTTCAAGCAATTCTCCTGCCTCAGCCTCCCGAGTAGCTGGGACTACAGGCATGGACTACCACGCCCGGCTAATTTTTTGTATTTTTAGTAGAGACAGAGTTTCACCGTGTTGGCTAGGATGGTCTCGATCTCTTGACCTTGTGATCCACCCGCCTCAGCCTCCCAAAGTGCTGGGGTTACAGGTGTGAGCCACCGTGCCCGGCCTTGATCTAGTTTTTGTTTTTCTGTGAAATATTTACATGAAAACAATGTCTTTGATTTTAATAACTTACCTGTTTCTTCTATTTGCCACCTGAAATTGACTTAATGTTCCGTAAGGGACTTAGCAGCTGGTCGCTATGGAATTGACTGACACTAAGTAAAAGATTATGACCTCCGGTAGAAATTAAGTAGAAAGACCTGCTGATATCTTAAAGAGATGGGATACACTCAGATTTTCAAATATTGACATAGAGCTTCTATTTAAGAGTAACAATTCTGGTTTTGGTGAAAAAAAATTTTAAGTTAGTTTCATGATATGCTTTATATCAAAGATAAAACTGTAAATTTATTTTTTTTTTGGTTTAAAAAAGGCCAGCCTTTCATTTTTCAGAAGATTAGTTCCTCTTAACCACGTGATGAAACTTTACTAATGAGGAATATGTGTGTATATACACACACACTTTATACATAATTCCTAGCAGTCTTTTGGACTAAATAATTTCCCCATGTCTTTATGTTGAGCAAAAATGATGGCAGCTTTTCAAACATATAATGTTAGCTCTGGGATTTAAAATTGAATTTCTAGTTTTCAGTGTCTTGCTAATTATGAGTTTGAGGCACATTTCATTACACGTTCATCTTAGGATGCACTGATGAGGAGTTTGTGACTGTTTTTCTTTGTAGTCTTCTGATAAGTCAATTAATGGCGTGTCATTTACTTCTGTAAGCTCATTTCCCACGTTTGTATAAAGTAGAGGTTGTGGGTATGGGTGTGAGATGGAAGTTTAGGTTAGAACAACTTCTAATTTCTCTTTCAGTTGTAAATATTATATAACATAATGGAAGCAAAATGCTTCCATGGCTACATAACCACATCTCTATTTAGTTGTTCATCATTGACTTGTCTCATACTATGAGGATTTCCTAGTGTAAATATGCTACACATAGATTTCTGAAAGATTTATTTGTAATCTAGAATATTTACAGTAATTTTCTTGGCTATTACACATTTAAAATTTACCGGAATTGTCTTGATCAAACAAGAATTTGGGTTGGCTTTCAAAGAATGTGAGCAGGGCTGAATATAAATAGAATTGGGGTCATTTATCAGCATCCATTCTTTTATTTCATTAGCTGCATTAATGTGTAAGCATTCAGTATAAGAAATATATTTAGCTCTTCTATTTTATTAATGATTTAGCCTTATCTTCCTTTTAGTTTGCAATAAGTACAAAATAGTTACAAACTCTGGAAGATGGTTGTAATCTACCTCCCATGAAGTAATTAAGCAATACAATAAATACTGTTGTCATTCTTTGTCTTTTACTTGCTTTTTTCTGGATATTTGGTTATATGACTGTTTTTTCCTCTACTTCTGTCCAATCTAGTTCACAATGATTTTTGTGTTCTTAAAGAGAAAAAGTCAATGACTTAAATTATATCACTATAACTTTTACAATCAGATGATCAGAGAAGATAGGGTTAAAGCTAATAAATGCAAGGTCCTTTGAAATCCTCACATAAAAGGAAACAGCAAAAGTACCAGCACTTTACAAAGCCAATATGCATTGATAATTTTGTCATTTATTTGTAGATATCCTTGGAACAGAAGATCTTACTGTGGAAGTGACTTCCAATGATGCTGTGAGGTTCTATCCCTGGACCATTGATAATAAATACTATTCAGCAGACATCAATCTATGTGTGGTACCAAACAAATTTCTTGTTACTGCAGAGATTGCAGAATCTGTCCAAGCGTTTGTGGTTTACTTTGATAGCACACAAGTAAGACTTCGTTTTCTATGAAGACTTGAATAATAAATGACTGCATTCTTTCTCCCCCCCCCAACATTTTATCTTATTATCTCTTTTCTGTTTTTGTTTGTTTATATTTTTTGTTCTGTCTAGAAATCGGGTCTTGATAGTGTCTCCTCATGGCTTCCACTGGCAGAAGCATGGTTACCTGAGGTGATGATCTTGGTCTGTGATAGAGTGTCAGAAGATGGTAAGGCATATGGATGGGATAGTAGTTGGTACATGCGTTTGCCATTCCTTGGTACACAGAGTACATCTATTTCCTTAACTTAGGACAGTACATTCCATGTGACTTTATTGCTTTATGAAAATATTTTCAGCTATTTTTCTTTGGAATCTTGTAATATTTACTTTTTTTCTATAGAGAATGGTTACTTCAGGGCTGAGAAATCATTTTATTATTTTAGATGCCTTTAGAATAACATTGACATTAATCTTAGTGACATTCTCCACTAAGATTTGTGGAAACTATTGCAAGAATAGTTACGTTTTATTTTCTTTTTACTTATGAAGATTCTTTTGCATATTATTTTAGGTATAAACCGACAGAAAGCTCAAGAATGGTGCATCAAACATGGCTTTGAATTGGTAGAACTTAGTCCAGAGGAGTTGCCTGAGGAGGATGGTAAGTGTTTATGTGTTAGTAGAAAACATGGCACTTAGATTCAGATATGAGAGATTATTGTAATTCAGAAAAGAAGAATCACAGCAAAATTTAAGAAACTTTTTCCCCCAGCTGTTTCAAAGATTTAAGCAAAATTCATCGATGTAGTCTTACACTTAGTATAATAATTCATTTATTTGGTTTTACCACCTATTTTAGGACTTTTGAAAATGTCTGTTTTTCTTATGGATAAAGGTATAGGGCTGCTCTCTAAAATCTTTGTCATTTCCCCAATTCTTTATCCTTTCTGCACTGCCAGAGAAGGAGGGTTAGACATTCTTGGTAAAGTTGATGTTTCTTATTTTGAATTCATAGTAACCTAAGGCTGAATTCCCAGGAATCCCAGGGGACATTTCAGATCTCTTTGAATGGTTTTGGGACATTGAAAGCCAAAAATAGACCCACATTTGACTCCCTACTTCCACCCCATGTAGCTCTGCAATTGCTGTCCAATGCTATTGCTGGACTTTCTATTTCTTCCCCTCTTCTTCTTCCGTTCCCCATTTCTTTTCTCATCTTTTCTCCTTTGAAGTACACCTGTTGTGGGATCTACCAGGATAAGAGGGTTTTGGGTTCACCAAAACATTATAATCTTATAATCTGGTACAAGAGATGAAACTTACATGCAGATAATTGAATTACCCAAGTGGAATGTCATAAATATTCTAGAAGAAATAGTGGTGGGGTATTTTAGAGACAGGAGAGCTTATTTGTGTTTAAAAGTGCAGAGATGGTGTTGGCATTGTGAACTGTCACGTGTCAGCTGCTCCATGGGGAAGAAATTAGAAAAAAATCCTCGGCTTTTAGTGAGAGGACCTGTGTAGAGGTGGCATTGTGAAGATACCAGTTGTTCCAAAAGATATTTTGGGCAGGGGCAACCAACGTGAATTAAAGTACATAGATAAGACATAAGCAGTCGTTTCATGAAGCCTGCATTTTTTTAAGGAATTAGAAAATACCTTTTATATTCTGGTTTTATTTACAATTTTTCCAAAATATTACATTTGAGAATAAAACGTGCTAGAAGAGAACAAAACCGAAATAAAAAGGCTGATTTTTCTCCTTGCCTATTTTAAAGAATGTTGAAAATAAGCGAGTACATCTTCTTTTTCTTTGATTTTCTAGATCCCCTGAAACTTAGGCCCTGTGTGATTTCTGGCACTGGAATTTTCTTTCTCTTGTCCTTGGGAGTCAGTATATGACTGTTATCATTTTGGAATCTCTGTTCCTTCATACTATTGTGTTTTTCATAGCCCTTTGTCTGAATAATGTTCTTGTATTTATTCAGCTTAATCTTTTTTATTTTTGAGATGGAGCCTTGCTCTGTCGCCCAGGCTGGAGTGCAGTGGTGTGATCTCAGCTCACTGCAACCTCTGCCTCCCAGGTTCAAGCAATTCTCCTGCCTCAGCCTCCCGAGTAGCTGGGACTATAGGCACATGTCACCACACCCGGCTAATTTTTTGCATTTCTAGTAGAGATGAGTTTCACTGTGTTAGCCAGGATGCTCTCAATCTCCTAACCTTGTGATCTGCCAGCTTTGGCCTCTCAAAGTGTTGGGATTACAGGCGTGAGCCACCGCATCTGGCCCAATTCAACTTAATCTTAAAATGGGTTTTTTTGATATGTCATCTTCAGGTAAGGTAATGAAAACCTTCCTAGACTTTTAAAATACAAACTATTCCTAAGCCATATTGCCTCATCTTTTGCTTGCATGTATTATTCAAACATGAATATACGACTTTATGGTAGTTTGTATTAATTTTCATCTTATTGGTACTAGCTCTACATTTCAGACCACATTTTTGATTCCTGGTTATATCATCTAAAATATTAGTTATTCTTTTGAGAATTAAGTCATTCACAGTTAAGATAAACATGATTTTTAGGTGTTCATTCAAACATTGGTGGTGATAAACTTACCTTGGTAGAGTATTTTCAATTTAATTACTATATTTCTGTTAGGTTGGTAGGTTGATATTCTTTAAATGGTTCATCAATCCATTACAGTTGCTGAGTGCTTGCTGTTTTTTAGGCCGTGTGCTAGGCAATGGGCATATGAGCTCGGTTAGACAAGGTTCCTGCCATCACAGTGCAGGGGGGAGGTTATACCAGTAAATCATCACTTCCAGTGCATCTTTCCTGTAGGAGAGATGTGCATAGAGTGGTGGTATTTCCACTTTCTTTGAGAATGGGATAAGTGATTTGCCCTTGATCAAATAAGTGGCCGAGCCTGGGTTCAGATTCAGACATTCCCACATCTAAATGTGCTCTTCTTGTTAAGCCACCCAGGGCAAGGCTGGCCCCTAGAGGCAGGTTCTGTGTGGATCATGTTCCATAAACTCTTAGGAGACTTCTTTTTTAACCATATGAAAATTGTTTCTGTCATTTTGCAGATGTAGCCTAATAATCCTCAACATCTGCAAGGTCTCCATTTCATTTTTATGCAATCATTCCTATGTTGTGGCTAAGAATACCACCTTTTTGGTACACTGTGGGATTACAACCCTGTTACTTTGAGTAGTGTCAGTCAAATTCCAGAAGCAGGATAATACTAATAATAAACTAAACTGAGTTGTTGTAATGACCCTTTGCCTGTCTCATATACTTGTAGTCATTTTACTTCGCACTCAATCTACCTTTCTTGATCACAAATAACACGTATTATTCTGTGGCTTCAGGCAGAGGATAATGCATTTACATGATTTTATGGCTTGCTATTAATACGAAAACTTCCTGCCTTCAGGTGACTCATTCTGTATAGATTGGTATCTCTAGTACTATGCTAGGAATCTGTGTAACAAGTGGAATCTTACATTTTCAGAATGTAAATAGATTCCATTGGTGGGGATAACTTCATTATATAACTGCCTTATATTTTATGTTTATCTGTTTTAGTTTCTAGAATATGCTTTTCCACAGGAAAGTTTTTAGCTTATTAATCTTCTCATAAAAAAAAAAAAACCACAACAGCCTCAGATAACATCATTGTAGCACCTTTATTCCTTCCGCTTTTTGCCAGCACTGACACTGGCCTTTGCAATCCGCCTGACTTTCTTCATGCTGTTCTTGCATTCCTTTCATTGCTTTCTTCAGGTCTTTTTCTTCTCACACAGGCCATGTCTTGTAAGTCTATGTTTGTGTTCATTTTCGTTTGCACAATCCGAGGAATCATAAATTATGCCAAAGCCAGTTGTCTTGCCACCACCAAAATGAGTTCTGAATTCAAATACAAAGATGACATCTGGTGTGGTCTTGTACATCGTGGCTACTTTTTCCTGAATTTCTGTCTTAGGTAGGTGTTGCCTTCCCGGGATGAAGGACATCAGTGACCATTTGTTTTCTCTGATGTAGTTGATTGGTCATGAACTTTCCAGTTTGAACAGTTACCATGTCATTCAGGATGGTGGTCAATCCTCAGACAGCCAAAGAGGAAAAGAGTTTTCCTAGAATATTCTTACCACGAGCTCCAAGCTCTGTATTTGTTTTATTTTTTTCCTTGTATGATGCTATTTTTCAAATAGCAATGGGGGATATATACAGACATTTTTATGAATGTATATGTATATATGTGTCAGTGTGATATATAAATATATATATATTTCCCCTCCCTGATTAGATGACTTCCCAGAATCTACAGGAGTAAAGCGAATTGTCCAAGCCCTGAATGCCAATGTGTGGTCTAATGTAGTGATGAAGAATGGTAAGTAACTTGGGACTAAAATCATTTTTTCCCCCCTTGTTCCTTTTAAGTTTTAAATTATTCAGATATATGTGGAACCATTAGTATTATGTGAAATCTGTAGATGTGTTCCAATTTCAATTCCCTGATTGATGGAAAAGCCGAAAGTAGCATTTCTAGGAATTTTTCAAGTACGTTTAATAGTTAATTCAGTAAGAATTTAGAGGTTGCCTATAATAGGCCCAGCATTGTCTTTGTCTTTGAGAAGTATCTTCAAAATTATAAGACATACACCCTATTATTAAGGAGCTCCTAGTCCAGCTGTGAAATCCAAGCATGTACTTTTCAAATGCCAGGTATGCAAGGCAGTCTGTGATGAGTACAGATGACTGATGCAGGCAGTAAAGTGCACAGAATCAGAAATACGGCTGTGGTGTTATGCTCAAGTATGGAGAGAGAGCTTCAAGGAGAAAATGTGTCCTGACAGTAGTTTTCACAGCAAGGTCAAGATTTGGACTGTTGAAAGCGGGGGTGGGGGGGTGGCAAGTGGAGAAGGAAGCACAGCATAAAGAATAATAGTTGTGTGTTCTGATTAGTCTAGGCAACATGGTGAGAACCCATCTCTACAGAAATTTTACAAACTAGCGGGCTGTGGTGGTATGCGCCTGTGGTCCCTGCTACTTGGGAAGGTGAGGTGGGAGAATTGCTTGAGCCTGAGGTCAAGGCTGCAGTGAGCTCTGATCACGCCATGGCACACCAGCCTGGGCAACAGAGGAAGACAGGGTCTTTCTCTGTTGTATGTTCCAGGGTCACTAAGAGAGTATCACCTAACATTTGGAGCTTGCTTAGAGAGAGGCCTGAATGCCAGTAAGGAGAATTTTGTCTTTTTCCTGTAAGAATTGGTGAGTCACTCGAGATTTTTAAATAAGGGTTTGATGCAAAGAAGTTGGCATCTTTGTTAACGTCATGGTGGTGTGCAGGGAGGTTTGGCAGTTGAAGAAAGTCAAGATAAAGTCTGAAGTAAGGGAGACCAGTGCTTTTGCAGCAGTTCAGAGAGAGAGGTGCTGGGTCTGGGGATAGTGTAGAGGCAGTGGCTGTGAGGCAGAAGGCTGGATCTGAAGTGCAATCTGAAAAGGGTAGGCTAGGGCACACTGGCCTCTTATGGTCTGCATTAGTCCCCTAGGGCGATGGTAACAAAGTACCACAAACGATATGACATAGAACAACATGAATGCATTGTCTCTCATAGTTCTAAAAGCCAGAAATCCAAAATCAGGGTGTTGGCAGGGCTATGCTCCCTCCGAAGGTGCTGAGGAAGGGTCTCCTTCAGTCCTCTCTTCTAGCTTCTGGTGGTTCCTTAGCTTGTGGCAGCATAACTCTAGCCTTCGCATGGTATTTTCCCTGTGTGCCATTTCCCCTTTTTATAAGCACAACAGTGACATCAAGTAGGGGTCTACCTACTGCATTATGACCTCATCTTACTATTTCTGCAGTCAACCTGTCTCCAAATAGGGTCACATTCTGAGATATTGGAGATTAGGACTTCAACATATGAATTTGGTGGGGGATACAATTCAGTCCGTAATGTAGTCTTTTAAGACTTGCTACCTGTATAGCAAGGTTTTTTCTGTCTTAACAGCTCTTGGATACCTCAACAAGTATGCTGAGGGAGACTACACAAGGGAATGAGAAAAATCATATTTTACAGTGAGCTTACCCCATCTTCCCCAATAAAGGTCAAGTAGAAGACCAGTTTTATAGAAATAGAATATTTCACTTCAATTTTTGGTAGACCCTTCAGTGTTAAGTGAGATTGACACCCTTTAGCTTTCCTGAGGTCTGATCTAACCTTTGTCATCATTAGAGAAGCTCCTTCTGGCATAATAAGGTACTCCTTCCTCCCATTTCTTCCCCCTCCCCATCTTCCTTCCTCCTTTTTCTAGGAGGGATCTTATGTCTCTGTTTCATTGAATTGCAAGGATACTAGATTCTATTTTATTACTAAAGCAATCTAGATAGACCTAGAAAGATTAAGGAGTTTTTTTTTTTTTTTTTTCCTTCTCCATCTTTTAAGTTCAAGGAGTATATGTGCAAGTTTGTTACATGGGCAAATTGTGTGTTGCTGGGGTTTGGTGTGCAAATGATTTTGTCACCCAGGTCACAGGTAGTGAGCATAGTACCTGACATGTAGTTTTTCAGCCCTCACCTTCCTACTCTCTACCCTCAGGTAAGCCCCAGTGTCTGTTGGTCCTCTTTTTTATCTCCATTTACACATGGCAACATGAGGTATTTATTTTGTTGTTGTTGTTGCTGCTTTTAATTTACTTAGGATTATGGCCTCCAGCTCTGTCCATGTTGCTGCAAAGGCCATGACTTTCTTCGTTTTTATGGCTGTGTAGTATTCCATGGTGTACGTGTACCACATTTTTTAAATCCAGTCCCCTGTTGTTGGGCATCTAGGTTGATTCTATGTCTTTGCTGTTGTGAATCATGCTGTGATGAACCTACACATTCATGTGCCTTTTTAGTAGAATGATTTACATTCATTTGGGTGTATACTCAGTAATGGGATTGCTGGGTTGAATGATAATTCTGTTTGAAGTTCTTTGAGAAATCTCCAAACTGCTTTCCACAGTGGCTGAACTAATTTACAGTCCCACCAGCAGTGTATAAGTACTTCTCTTTCCTCTGCAACCTCACCAACATCTGTTATTTTCTGACTTTTTAATAATAGCCAGAATAAGGAGATTTTCATGTATGTGGTTCTCTCTCTGTTACCAGAACAAATTCAAATTAAGACTTGGTCCTTCTCATTCATCTATTCAGCAAATCTTTGTTGAGCATTTACCATAGGAAGGCATGACTGTCTATGCTACAAAAATAAGTTTAAGATTTAGAACATAACTGGATCAATTTAGAATAAAATTATATTCGGTTGCACTTGTTATATTTATGAGAACTATTTTCACAAAATCTTCTTTGTCTTCCTTCACCTTCTGAAAAATCTGTGTCCCAAGTTCATATATTAAAGAACTGTTGTCTTGTAATGTACACGTGTGGCTATAAATTGAGAAGCTGGACTAAACATGCTTTATTACTTTGGAAGTATGGTCAAAGGTATTTTCTGAAAATATGCCATTTTACTTGTTTTAAACACTAAAAAATGTTCTAAAAAGAACTGCAAAACAAAGAGGTACATTGTGGATTTTTCACAGTTCTTTGCCCTGAAGTTTCATCACTTTCTTTTTTTTTTCTTGACAATACTAGTACATTAGTTTCCTGTTAACCAAAGACCAAAATATTGCCATTAATTAGCTTCATTCCCTGTTTAAGAGGATCCTGTCGTATGTGGTATGAAGGAAACTTAACTGTCTTCTCTCTAGAGAATCCCTGAATATGAAGATACAATGAATGACATTTTGATGTAATCCAGGTCTTAGGAAGTGTGAAGGACATCCTTCTAGAGCCCTGCATCTTACTTTAGACACAAAGTTCTCTGTGGATATATGGTCGGTCATATTACTCTTCAAGGGCAGCTTACCTCCATGCTGTTTGTAGAGCCTGCTTTGCTGGGGATCTGTCTGTATGCCCAGTGAACTGTGCCTCCCTCAACCTGCTTTTCTTGAATGTCCGTGTGTTGTCTGCCAGCAGGTGCTCAGACTGGTTTATTTGTTTTAGGGGCTCTCTGTTTTTCCTACTCTTTTTTTCTCATTCATTTTCCTCCCATTTCTCTTTTTTGAACTGTGGTTAAGACTGGGCGCGGTGGCTCACGCCTGTAATCTCAGAACTTTGGGAAGCTGATGCAGGCGGATATCAAGGTCAGGAGTTTGAGACCAGCCTGACCAACATGGTGAAACCCCATCTCTATGAAAAATACAAAAATTAGACGGGTGTGGTGGTGCATGCCTGTGATCCCAGCTACTCAGGAGGCTAGGCAGGAGAATCGCTTGATCCCGGGAGGCGGAGGTTGCAGTGAGCCGAGATAGTGCTACTGCACTCCAGCCTGGGCAACAGACTGAGACTCCATCTCAAAAAAAAAAAAAAATTGTGGTTAAATGTACATAAGATTTACCATTTGAAATGTGCATTTCAGTGACAGTAAGTGCATTCACATTGTTATACAACTATTGCCACTAGCAATTTTAAACCAAAAAGTTTTTTAAATAAAAAAGTTGATTGACAAAGTAAAAACGCATAATAGAGGTATTGGTTACCTTTTTCAAGTGATTAATAATGACTAATTTTTGTCATTTTTGTTAGAAAAATTACTATAATCATAATTGATTCTTTGGGATTATTACACTGGAAAATTATATAATGCTAATGATTATTTGGGATTATATTGTTTATTTAATATTTATTGAGCAGTAATGGGACGTTTTAGGTTATGCCATGCCACTAGTTTTGTACAGTTGCAGAAAAAATATTTGTTTGAAACTCTTTTAAAAATATTATTTAAATATGCTGAATTTCAAAAAACAATTCCAGTTAGTCTAAGGATTATGAACATCTAGCTGTTGCAACAAATAATCCTGAAAACACACAAATCTAACTCAGGTTTTATTTCTTTGCAGTTTCTTGCAAATTTGACATTTAAAGGTCAAATATTTAATCTGAAAATATAGTTAATTAAAAGCATAAGAGATGAAGTGCATTCCTTCCTGCCCTCCATTCAGATAAAGTGGATGTGCTTTCTATATGGAAATTCATGATTTAATGAGTGATTATAAGTCTGAACAATTTACTTGGTTATGGGATCTCTTCATAACTTTTTCCTTTAGTCTCTTCTTAAAAGTTAGTAATAGACAGCAACCAAAGAAAAAATACATAAATTGGACTTCATCAAAATTTAAAATGTTCATACTTCAAAGGACATTGTCAGGAAAGTGAAAGATAACTTTCAGAATGAGAGAAAATATTTGTAAAACATATATCTTACAAGGATCAGCAGAATGTATCTAGAATGTATAAAGAACTCTTACAACTCAATAATAAAAAGACAACTAATCCAGTATAAAAAT